ACATACACAGAGGATTTAGCAGTGTATGCTAGTAGGGGACGTAAGTACACACATACACAGAGGATTTAGCAGTGTATGCTATTGGGGGACTTAAGTACATACATACACAGAGGATTTAGCAGTGTATGCTAGTAGGGGACGTAAGTACACACATACACAGAGGATTTAGCAGTGTATGCAATTGGGGGACTTAAGTACATACACAGAGGATTTAGCAGTGTATGCTAGTAGGGGACGTAAGTACACACATACACAGAGGATTTAGCAGTGTATGCTATTGGGGGACTTAAGTACACACATACACAGAGGATTTAGCAGTGTATGCTAGTGGGGGACGTAAGTACATACATACACAGAGGATTTAGCAGTGTATGCAATTGGGGGACTTAAGTACATACACAGAGGATTTAGCAGTGTATGCTAGTAGGGGACGTAAGTACATACATACACAGAGGATTTAGCAGTGTATGCTAGTAGGGGACGTAAGTACATACATACACAGAGGATTTAGCAGTGTATGCTAGTAGGGGACGTAAGTACATACATACACAGAGGATTTAGCAGTGTATGCTAGTAGGGGACGTAAGTACATACATACACAGAGGATTTAGCAGTGTATGCTAGTGGGGGACGTAAGTACATACATACAGAGAGGATTAAGCAGTGTATGCTAGTAGGGGACGTAAGTACATACATACACAGAGGATTTAGCAGTGTATGCTAGTAGGGGACGTAAGTACATACATACACAGAGGATTTAGCAGTGTATGCATGTAGGGGACGTAAGTACATACATACACAGAGGATTTACCAGTGTATGCTAGAGGGGGGCGTAAGTACATACATACACAGAGGATTTAGCAGTGTATGCATGTAGGGGACGTAAGTACATACATACAGAGAGGATTTAGCAGTGTATGCTAGTAGGGGACGTAAGTACATACATACAGAGAGGATTAAGCAGTGTATGCTAGAGGGGGGCGTAAGTACATACATACACAGAGGATTTAGCAGTGTATGCTAGTAGGGGACGTAAGTACATACATACACAGAGGATTTAGCAGTGTATGCTAGTAGGGGACGTAAGTACATACATACACAGAGGATTTAGCAGTGTATGCTAGTAGGGGACGTAAGTACATACATACACAGAGGATTTAGCAGTGTATGCATGTAGGGGACGTAAGTACATACATACACAGAGGATTTAGCAGTGTATGCTAGAGGGGGGCGTAAGTACATACATACACAGAGGATTTAGCAGTGTATGCTAGTAGGGGACGTAAGTACATACATACACAGAGGATTTAGCAGTGTATGCTAGAGGGGGGCGTAAGTACATACATACACAGAGGATTTAGCAGTGTATACTAGTAGGGGACGTAAGTACATACATACACAGAGGAGTTAGCAGTGTATGCTAGTAGGGGACGTAAGTACATACATACACAGAGGATTTAGCAGTGTATGCTAGTAGGGGGCGTAAGTACATACATACACAGAGGATTTAGCAGTGTATGCTAGTAGGGGACGTAAGTACATACATACACAGATGATTTAGCAGTGTATGCATGTAGGGGACGTAAGTACATACATACACAGAGGATTTAGCAGTGTATGCTAGTAGGGGACGTAAGTACATACATACACAGAGGATTTAGCAGTGTATGCTAGTAGGGGACGTAAGTACATACATACACAGAGGATTTAGCAGTGTATGCATGTAGGGGACGTAAGTACATACATACACAGAGGATTTAGCAGTGTATGCTAGTAGGGGACGTAAGTACATACATACACAGAGGATTTAGCAGTGTATGCTAGTAGGGGACGTAAGTACATACATACACAGAGGATTTAGCAGTGTATGCTAGAACTTTGATGTCACGAGCATGCGGTGATCTCGCAGTTTGGTCCCTGCGTATTCCTTCTTTGTTCATCAGTTTCGGTTGTGTCGAACCTCGGATACCTCGAAGTATTTACGTAGGTCCCTTCAACTTAAACACAACGGTGTTGACAGTGTATCCTTTTCAAATTTAACCGCGTCAATAAACTGCATTAATTGATGTTACAATGTAGGTGAAATCGTCCCTTCTGTGGATACACGTTGAGTGGGATCTGGTACTTGTAAACAGGATAGATTGAGAAGGGTTTACCCTTTTTAAGACGAATTTCATGTTCTTATTATCTGCTCCCAATACTATATCTTCAGGCAACGAGATGTAGAAATCCATTATAATAAAGCAAGTATGTTTATATTTATTAGTTTATGGAAAGATAACCGCCAAAATATTGTACTTAATTTGTCAACATGCATGTTTCATATTATGAAGGAACGAAACAACTATATTGTCCATGAACTGTTGATTACATTGCACAACTGTTTGGGTGTAATTTGCCACGAATGTCAATGTCCTAATGGGTGAAAAAGGGGTGGGGAAATGGGGAGGGTGTTGATTTCTATATATATCAAGTTCTTAAAATGTGCATGTATGAATCAGCTCCATCTTTTTGTCATGTATTTTGGCTTTTGCCTATCCTGAATTAACAATAAACAATAGTTTGTAGGGCGCTTCTTCCAAATAAGGTGAGGTGCCAGGGAGGGGAAATAACTCTTCATTCTAATTACATTAATGACCGAAGCATTTGGATCTGACGTCCATCAGGTATCTTATCCAAGACGGGATAATCGGTGTTCCCGAACTTTAGACCGCAGAACCATCGGTGTTCCCGAGCTTCAGACCATAGTGCCATCGGTGTTCCCGAGCTTCAGACCATAGTGCCATCGGTGTTACTGGGCCTTAGACCACAGAACCATCGGTGTTCCCGAGCTTCAGACCATAGTGCCATTGGTGTTCCCGAGCTTTAGATCATAGTGCCATTGGTGTTCCCGAGCTTTAGATTATAGTGCCATTGGTGTTCCCGAGCTTTAGATCATAGTGCCATTGGTGTTCCCGAGCTTTAGATCATATTGCCATTGTTGTTCCCGAGCTGTAGATCATAGTGCCATTGGCGTTCCCGAGCTTTAGATCATAGTGCCATTGGTGTTCACGAGCTTTAGACCATAGTGCCATTGGTGTTCACGAGCCTTAAACCATTGTGCCATCGGTTTTCACGAGCCTTAGACCATTGTGCCATCGGTGTTCACGAGCTTTAGACCACAGAACCATAGCTGTTTCCTAGCTTTAGACAACATTGCCATCGATGTTCACGAGCTTTAGACCATAGTGTCATCGGTGTTCACGAGCCTTAGACCATTGTGCCATCGGTTTTTTACGAGCTTTAGACCACAGAACCATAGCTGTTTCCTAGCTTTAGACCATAGTGCCTTCGGTGTTCACGAGCCTTAGACCATTGGGTGATCGGTGTTCACGAGCCTTAGACCATAGTGTCATCGGTGTTCACGAGCCTTAGACAACAGAAACGTCGGTGTTCACGAGCCTTGGACATTGATAAGGACATATATAACATAACACGCGTAGTATAAGAGTTTTGGAAGTTCATAGTTCCGCCATATCCCGGAAGTGAAAATCAACTGACTCAAATCTGATACGGTACTCTCTCATCGGTGGCTTCAAACGAATGGTATGTTCACAATCAGAATAATAACAGAGGGTCGTAATCAACATAGGGGTTTTCTAACGCTGGAGATCACAACAGAATGTTATTTGTCACAACTCGGATTTTTTTTATTAGTATTCGGAATGTCCCGTTGAAGTGAAAATGCTCATTCACAAGCACAGTCGAAAACTGTAACGGAATATTCTTCGAGGGGGACACTGGTAGCACAGCCTCGGCAAAAAAATATTGTGCATATTATTTCATACTGGCGTTCCTTCGTCAAGCTGAGCGGTTGCTTTAGCATAGGTCTAGCCCGAGAAACCACTATAAACATAGCTCAACTGTATAATATCGTACTTGATCTTCATGTTTGTTAAGATTTAGAACAAGTTTTCCACACTTCCATTAAGTGTGTGACGCATTTTTTTTTATAAATTGTACATTTGTAAAAGTCACGTCCGTGTTCATTATTTTTCATTGGTGACCTTAGTGAGGTTACGGTTATCCAATCAAATCGAATAAACCCAGGTCAACCCTGTACGACACTCCAGTGACTTATTGGTGTAGCATGTCTGCATCCGTCTCTTCACCACATGGGTAATAAAGTGCAATCTATTGTTTAAGATGTCATCAATTCACCAAGTTACGTCATTTTAACAAAAGGTCGACTGCAGTGACGTTTATTTAAAGAAAAGTTACAATTCCTACGCTTTTGTTTAATGTTCGTATTCAAAAAGTCTTGAGATAAGGTGAAATTGGGTTTAGCGACGTGCATGCACGTGTGTGTCTGTGTGTGTGTGGCTGCTTGTACTAGTCCGGACTGAAGTTGGTTTTATAGTGCTAGCCCACTGAGATACCATACCGCAGTTTAAAATGAATGCCAAACTTAGACACAGTATACTAACTCCAAGCCGACCAGTCCTTGTTTTAGCCCCTTAATGACGAGCGTCAGACAGGGTCACAACAAGTAGCATCTTTTAACGTCTTTTGGTATCTCCAGATATGACTTCGAGGCACCCTTGACTGTTTTAGACAGCTTCCGTTTGCTGTGAGAGTATTGACAAATCCTTCAAGCCATTGTCATATCCATTTCATAACATTTACTGTCACTTTTCAGAAGAAGCGGCCCTTAAATCCTTATATTTTTCTGCCAGATTTCCCTTGGAATGAGGACATTTTACAAAAATAACAACAATAACAATTTTTTTTAAAAACAAAACTAAAAAATACCGTGAAACAAACCTTCACAAACATTAACACATGGTGAAATAAACCTTCACAAACATAAAAATAGCTAGAAAAAAACCTTCACATGGGAATAAAAACTCTCGTACTTATAACCACTACTTTCTTGCATGTACTGGGCTCCCATCTAAAATATGCCTCTGGCCTGTTGTTATTATCCGTTGGAACTTTAAAATATTTCAACGATGGCATGGTTCATTATAATCATATTTTAATTGTCAATTAATCAATGTACATCTATCGGCCATCAGAGAGTCAACTCTGGCCTATCAATGGTCTTCAGAAATCCATTCTGGTCTACCAAACATCTTCACAAAACCCTGGCCTTGAATGGTCTTCAGAAATCCATTCTGGTCCACCAATCATCTTCAGAATGACCTAGTAATGATCTTCAGAAACACCCACTCTGGCCTACCGGTGATCTTTAGAGAGTCCACTCTAGCCCACCAGTCAATGATCTTCGGAGACGGAAATCTGACCCATCGATGAGCTGCAGAGTCAACTTTGGCCTACCAGTCATCGTATCCCAATTGTGTGGAACGATGTTCATGATATCAATCACTGGATTGTCTGGTCCAGACTCGAATATTTACAGACAGCCGTCATATAGCTGGAATATTTCTGAGTGCGACGTTAAACAACAAACAAACAAACCAATAATGTTAAAAAAACTCACTCTTGTATACAAATAATCTTCAGATAGTCATCTCTGACCCATTGAGGACCTTTAGCAAATCTTCTCCTGTTTACAAATGGCTCTAGAGAGTCCACTCTGGCCTGGCGAGGATCTTTAGAGAGTCCTCTCTGGTCTAGTAATGATTTTCACAATAATCCTCAGAGAAAAGATCACCACAAATGACCCGTCAACTTTGTCCATTACAAGAACATGATAAAATTTCACTGTGTTATATTATTGTAGGAATTACATGTCGATCTGTCTGCCTGTGTTCTGTGTCTCCACCTCTATCCCCGAGAGGCTGGGCAAGTCCCTTTGGTGACAGTAACTTACATATATACTCCAAAACCAACACTAACAAACATATCACTGACACTCTGCTGGTCCCATAGTCCATAATCTCGGAGTCACGCTGTCGTAATTCATCGTCACTGATCACATACACACGACGCGGGCATGAGATTGTCCCGTCAGAGGCCGGCCTGAGGGGGAAACCTGTCTATCCTGAAGGGGGTGAGGCTGTAGGAGGGCGTCTCCCCACACGCCAGCTGACCCAGGACCTTGCCCACCACAGGGGACAGCTTGAAGCCATGACCTGGGGAGAGAGGATATACACGTATATTATATAACCCATGACCTGCGGAGAGAAGATATACATGTATATCATATAACCCATGACCTGCAGTGTGAGGATATACACGTATATCATATCACCCATGACCTGGGGAGAGAGGATATACACGTATATCATATAACCCATGACCTGGGGAGAGAGGATATACATGTATATCATATAACCCATGACCTGGGGGATATACACGTATATCATATAACCCATGACCTGGGGAGAGAAGATATACACGTATATCATATAACCCATGACCTGGGGAGAGAGGATATACACGTATATCATATAACCCATGACCTGGGGAGAGAGGATATACACGTATATCATATAACCCATGACCTGCGGAGAGAAGATATACACGTATATCATATAACCCATGACCTGTGGAGAGAAGATATACATGTATATCATATAACCCATGACCTATGGAGAGAAGATAAACTCGTATACCATATAACCCATGACCTTTGGAGAGAAGATATACACGTATACCATATAACCCATGACCTGCTGAGAGATCATATACACGTATATCATATAACCCATGACCTGCGGAGAGAAGATATACATGTATATCATATAACCCATGACCTGTGGAGAGAAGATAAACTCGTATACCATATAACCCATGACCTGTGGAGAGAAGATATACACGTATACCATATAACCCATGACCTGCTGAGAGATCATATACACGTATATCATATAACCCATGACCTGTGGAGAGAAGATATACACGTATACCATATAACCCATGACCTGCGGAGAGAAGATATACATGTATATCATATAACCCATGACCTGTGGAGAGAAGATAAACTCGTATACCATATAACCCATGACCTGCGGAGAGAAGATATACACGTTTACCATATAACCCATGACCTGCTGAGAGATCATATACACGTATATCATATAACCCATGACCTGCGGAGAGAAGATATACATGTATATCATATAACCCATGACCTGTGGAGAGAAGATAAACTCGTATACCATATAACCCATGACCTGCGGAGAGAAGATATACACGTATACCATATAACCCATGACCTGCTGAGAGATCATATACACGTATATCATATAACCCATGACCTGCGGAGAGAAGATATACACGTATACCATATAACCCATGACGTGCTGAGAGATCATATACACGTATATCATATAACCCATGACCTGCGGAGAGAAGATTTATACGTATACCATATAACTCATGACCTACGGTGAGGGAAACACGCGTATATCATATAACCCGTCAACTGCACTAGTTTTGAACAAAGTGTTATGTGTTTAAGACTTGCATCACTATGACTTTCCTCCCTAATCAAGCGGGTGATATATTACAATACTGTTGAAAACGGCGTTACATACAATTCACAAACCCACTCAAAACACTCTCCGTGGTAACTGTCATCGTCGACATACCTGAGAAGCCGACGCCGACGACGATGTTGCGATTGCCGGGGATGTAGTCCAGGACTGGGTGTTCATCAGGGGTGTTCTGAAACAAAACAAAAATGAACAGAATACATTAAAACAGTTTGTTCATATTCACCATACAGCGACAGCATATATATATACAAATACAGTGAAACCTCGTTAATCCAGACTGTACCGTTGCAAGTGAAATCGTCCGGAATAACACGTCTGTATTAACGAATCATTGGTGCGTAATAATGGGATCCCTAGCAACCTATGCTTGTCGTACGAGGCAACTAAATTATTCAGGCGGTCGATAACGTGCTCATAATATCGATCACTAGTTTGTCTGTTTGCCTGCCGGCAAAATATAATCTGCCGGGCAAAAGTAAGTATATTATGTACACTTAAATATTGGATGTGACTAAAATATTACAAACGTTATCAAAACGTGACAAGCCTGAGTATCTGTATGACTTACATAACCCGTGACGATCCGGGTTAGAATAGGTCTTCAGCAACCCATGCGACTTTGCTTGTCGTAAGAGGCGACTAATGGGGTCGGGTGGTCAGGCTCGCTGACTTGGTTAATGCATGTCATCGTATCCTAATTGTGTGGATCGATGCGCATGATATTAATCACTGGATTGTCTGGTCCAGACTCGATTATTTACAGACCGCCGTCATATAGCTGCAATATTGCTGAGTGTGGCAATTTGGATCAATGACATGCATCAACCAAGTCAGCGAGCCTGACCATCCGATCCCGTCAGTCGCCTCTTACGACAAGCATGGTTGCCTTTTAGGGCAAGCATAGGTTGCTGTAGACCTATTCTACCCCGGATATTCACGGGTCAGAAAGAAAGTATTTGAGACAAGAGGAATTATAACCATGTGGATTATCAAAAACACGATAGTGTTTTAGCAATCTCGGAAAATAACTAAATTTAACTTTGTACACGACTGGAAGCTTCATTCCTTGATGCAGGGGGGCATTTGCTACTGAACGTGACGACTATAAATATAATTACATCTGGACAATTCAGGACAACTTGTCAAAAGATAGAAAGCAAATGTCATCTAAAAATTACTGAGAAATATGTGAAATGCTGGTATTCTTCATAGATGACATCTAGGTGAAATTTGGGGATAGGGCATTTAGGCACGTAGTAGGCATCCCCATGGGCGCCAGATGTGCTCCCCGTCTTTCTGGTATGTTTCTTTATGCGCGTGAATCGGAATCTAGCATGCAATTTCTACGAGGATTTCAAAGAGATTCATACGACTCTCGTCCTAAAGGTTGTTTATCAGGGTTACAGCATTCAAGGCCTCCGCAATGCTTTCACAATGTTTCTGCTTAGAAAGTTTGAGATTATTTCCAAATCTGAAGTATCAGTGACCAATTCTTTTCCAATGCCATTCCCTATTTTGACTTGGCGTTGCATGTGTTTGTGACATGTGTCACTGGTATGGAGGGTTACGCTCACCTTATTGCGAACACCGGGTATTATCAATGATTAATAGTGATTCAGAAACACATGCTCATGACATAGTCGGAATCGGACAAAGGACTCTGTTTTTAGCAGAGATATTTTATGATTATGGAGCCCGGAGAGCGGAAGATTGGGGGTTTGATCCCCGGACGCGTCATACCGAAAGACGTTAAAAGATGGTACTTGTTGTTACCCTGTCTGGTGCTCGGCATTAAGGGGCTGAACAAGGACTGGTAAGCTCGGAGTCAGTATACTGTGTCTGAGTGGGGTATTCATGTTAAACTGCAGCATGGTATCTCAGTGAGACGGCACTATAAATCGGCATCAGTCCGGACTAGTACAAGCAGCCACACAGACACGTACATGCACGTCGCTATATAAGTGCAATAATCTTGAACGCGACGTTAAACCTCATTTCACCTCTCCTCACATACAGATTATATCACAATACATCACCATGATTACGGAAATGGTTTTGTCGCTATAATGTGCTTCATTGTTTACACCATGCAATGGGTTGTTTATTCAATAATTAAATTTTCGTTGTGTTGATTGAAATTCCTGCATTCTGATTAGCTGATTTGGTCACGTGTTATTGCATTCATTTCACAATGAATGTAAAAAATGAAGCCACGCCCACCGAAGCGCACTACTTTTATTACTGCGGAAGGTCGGGGAATCCCAATATTTCAGTCGAGGGAATTCCCTTTCTGCTCACGTGTATCGTCATGCACAGGACATCTAGCGACTTTCATGCATATTCATTGTCCAAACTACCCTTTGAAACCGAAGGCCGAGAATGAATGAAACAGCAAACGTACAGGCTCGCTCGCCTGATTTTTCTTTTCTCGCTCGCCTCGGTTTAACTTTCATGTCTTCAGGTTTCATTTCTAACTAGCACTTTTCCAACTGTGTTTTACCGTAATCAGGGAAGTAATGTTTGAATCTGACGGTAACTGACCATGTAATTTGAAACAGCCGCCTTCTCACGGACATATTTCTTCCGATTCGTTACAGTCTGACTGTTGCAGTTCTTTTCGTCTCTTGTCTTAATTGACAGGTCCAATGAACATTGTTTTGATCCAACTCTCCGTTGATTAGCTACTGACTGTGTAGGCGTGTCAAGTTATGTGCATAAATTAAACGATCACCTGATTCATGTCACGCCACAGTATGTATTCCTACACCTGGAATGTTTATCAATCTCGTCATTTGTGTCTGTTCTGATATATACAACTGTTTTTGGTTAAACTATTGTAGATAAAACATGTTTTACATTGTCGAATTTAATTATAAGCAATGACTGTATATTTTGTTCGGTTCATTGAGGTATGAATCGAAAAACCGATATGCAAAGTTTTGTAAGAATCCGCTTCGCCGATTAATTGATTTGTGGTTTAATTATTTATAATAGGGTAAGGGAGTTGTGATTATAATGAGGTTGTTCAAGTCTTGGTAATAATCGTGTCTCTAAATTAACTAGAGAGAGGACGTGTTCATGCACGATATTCAGAGGTGATGTGCGCTTCAACGCTGAGGGGTTATGATAATAATAATAATACTCACAGTGTATATGCACGTTTCCACTATGGATGGCGACGGTTCGAGGGAGGGGAAGTGTTCTCTGACAAACCCCTTCATCAGATCAATCACCCACTTGTCATCTGCTTGGTCACGAAGCTCAGTGTCAATATCTGGACCAGAGTGAAGACAGATCTACAGACACAAGGAGTAAAAGTTGCAGAGAGACAAGCCCCATCCTCGATTTGATCTCAGTCCTATCATGATAATACCCTGGACCCATTCTCCGCCAAGAAGTGTTTTCAACCCGATTCGAATGACGTCCAATCAAATTACGCAAATGAGCGAGAGCATTTATGTGCCAAGTAAGAGATAGGAGAAATGGTGATGGCATCCTGAGCATTCATCGCAATAGAATGGTGATCTAATACCCTGGCTTATCGAGGATGAACAACCCCTGATTTGTAATTGTGGTGTTGTTATACCCCTGAACAGGCAGAAATCATTCATGTAATTCAAAGAGACATGTAAATATCTTTATTTGATTTTCATTTGTATCAAGCGACTTTGACCATAAACCTACAAGTTTTATTTTTCATACAAACGACAGCTTAAAAAGCGTACTGTGTTGTTCCATTTCACTGATACACGGAAACATTGGATCGTGTTGAGATAAAGGGTCACGAACCTGTTGTGATAGACTCACACTTAGTCTACGAAAACATTTCACTAATATAACTGATTTTTTTTCTCACAAAAACCTTTCCTCTTCTGCTGTTATCAAGGGAACTAGACCTGGTTTACTTTGATCTAGTCTTGCTATGGCTTTTAGTAATATGTATGGTAAAAATTAAATAAGTGGAATAAGACTTAAGTCAACACAGTTATAATTGGCCATAATTAAAACTGTGTTCAATCTTACTCCACTTTTTAAATGTTTACTATATTGTGCCTGCGAGTTAGAACTGGACTGTGAAAGGAATAACGACGCATAACCGTAGCGTAAAAGAGAGACTAGATTCGGGTATGATAAATATAATTGGTTGTCATTGCAAGTCTTTCATTAAAAACGTTAGCGTCTTTTTGTTTAGACTATAGGATGTAGATCAGTATTAATTGCGATGACAGTTTCTCAGTTTCCGCTACAGCACCTGATGAGAAACTGGCAACAGGCTGTGAAACTTAATCTGTTGTGTATGACCAGAAGGGAAAGGCCATGCGTTGTTTCCCCACAGTACACAGGCGATCATCTGGATGCCTCGGTAAGATAGGGGATCTTACCTTTACGTGGCCTGGGTACTCAAAACAAGGGACACCATACACTCCCCAGGCCAAACCTCTAGCACTCAACGGCTGTAATACAGAAGGGTCATGGGCGCCGGGATGTCGATCTCGCCAATAACATACACTGATTCGCACAATCTGCAATACAATCTTAATACATGGTACCGTGCGAGACAGATGGCGTGAGTCGGTTAGTGGCTGATGTGTGAGAGCGTGAGTGAGGTAGTGGTTGAATGAACTGTGAGAAGAGTAAGTGAGTGAGGTGGTTAGAGGCTAATTGGAGAAAATTATGATAGAATATGTGACAGTCTAACGTGAATTGTCATGCATGTTTAAGCACTTTCCGGTTATCATGAAATTACATCTTTGTTCGTCTATGCGTTTAAGCAAGATTGTCGCTTTTATTAAACACGTTGGGAATTGCAAACCAAATCGTCTCCGCATTGACTTTTGGTGACAGGTTAGCGAACCGCGTAGAGTGTGCGTGAGTGCATTCGTGGGTGCATGCATAACTCCTCTTACATACATCTATCACATTAACAGATCTTGATATGTCTCACACATTATCCAGGGATGTGGTATACACTTGTATATTACTGACGCTATTGTGTCAAAGAAGAAGGGTAGTCGTATATGACTATCATCCCGGTGCCAGACGTCAGAAGGTTTGGGCTTTTTAATGATAGATAAAATGGAACAGAATTTAATCAGGCGCGCTATCTATTTTCGTTGGCTCACGCGACGAGGTATTTGCCCGGATATCCCATGGGACCAAGACAAATACGTTTACATCCCTTTGGAACATCCCCTTGGGAAGCCAGGGTCTGATAGCCTGTGTACTGTGGGAGAAATCCGTGAAAAACTGACTGAATTCGAACCCGAATCTGCAAAAACATCCGCGTTGAAGGAGTGACGGAATATTCTGTCCCATATCCCTCGAGTTATGTCCCTTATTGTTGCGTCAGTTGTGACCGAGTTTTGTCCCTTATTGCTGCGTCAGTTGTGACCGAGTTATGTCCCTTATTGCTGCATCAGTTGTGACCGAATTATGTCCCTTATTGCTGCGTCAGTTGTGACCGAGTTATGATGACGCTTATTGTTGGGTAAGTTGTGACGGAGTTATGTCTCTTATTGCTGAGTCAGTTGTGACCGAGTTATGCCCCTTATTGTTGCGTCAGTTGTGAACGAGTTGTGTCCCTTATTGTTGCGTTATTTGTGTCCGAGTTATGCCCCTTATTGTTGCGTCAGTTGTGACCGAGTTATGTCCCTTATTGCTGCGTCAGTTGTGACCGAATTATGTCCCTTATTGCTGAGTCAGTTGTGACGGAGTTATGTCTCTTATTGCTGAGTCAGTTGTGATTGAGTTATGCCCCTTATTGTTGCGTCAGTTGTGACGTAGTTATGTCCCTTATTGGTGCGTCAGATGTGACCAAAATAGACCTTCTTGTGTCAGTTGTGAACGAGTTGTGCCCATTATTGTTGCGTTAGTTGTGGACGAGTTATGTCCCTTATGTTTGCGTCAGTTGTGAACGAGTTATGCCCCTTATTGTTGCGTCCGATATGACCTGGTAATGTCCGTTATTCCAAATTTTGAGTTCAGAATTAATATAGTTGGCCCGAGATAGGACAATACCTTCACATGTCCTGGATACTCCTCGTTTGGCAAACCGTACACATCGTACCCACGACAACGACGTACGGCTTTCTCGTAAAACGGAAGTAGTTTACTGGAGGCGTGGGAACCGTTATCCCGCTCTTTCCAATACATCACCGATATCCGCAGAGTCTGTAATTACAACATACAACACATTGTGGTGGCTGACCACAGTTAAATGGACCTCCGTTGAGTTGTCATACATCGGGCATTGTAGGTATTTTGTATGATTTGGCTTTAAATCACAACATGATGTTCAAAATGATAACTGATTTTGTGGTTGATAGAAACCAGATATACAATTTGACATCGAACAGACCGTCGCCAGATCATGTTGTGTAATGTGATAGTCACGTCATAGTAAATCCACTGGGCTTTCCCCAGTGTGTTGGCACCTCGTGTTCCTGACAGTGCAGTTAGGCATAGTCGCTGACAGTAGCAATGGGTCACTTAACTTCTGTGTAAACAGATCGTTCTGTTACTTCTGCACTAGTTGTAAGAGTGAGTGAGTGAGCATGGTTTTACGCCGCTTTTAGCAATATTCCAGCAATATACCGGGGGACACCAGAAATGGGCCTCACACATCGTACCCATGACGAGCGAACGCTTTAACCACAAGGCTACCCGACCGCCCCACTAGTTGTAAGACGTGTGTGTCAGCCTGACGCTTTGTTGAAGGCTCAAGACTTGATAAGTCTAGGTACAAGGCATCGCCTCCGTGGTCTAGTGGATACAGCGTCCGCCCGGAGAGCAGAAGGCTGGAAGTTCGATCCCAGGCAGCCTCATACCAAAAGGCGTTAAAATTTAACTTATTCTGCCTGGCGCTCGGCATTAAGGAAATAAAACTGGTTGTCTCGGAGTCAGTAAACTGTGTCCGAGTAGGGCCTCCACATTAAAACACACACACAGAGACACATACACGCACGCACGCACGCACGCACGCACGCACGCACGCACGAACACTACCTTGCAATATATACGTGCAACAATCGTGAACGTTAAACCCCTTTTAACCCTAAATATATTTTTAACTCGAAATGGTTATTGGTACGCGCGTCCACGCGCCAGTAACCAGTGTTATAAAAATACTCATACGTTGAAACATCATTGTCGCTCCCTACAGTTCAAAATAGATAAATAGTCATAGAAAGCACACGGTAGTATACATGATACTCTCTAATAGATTACAACTTCTTTTATTCTTATAGAGAGTTAAACTATAGATCAATTCCCTTTCACACTGATACACTTTTGCCTACGATGTTGGAGGATTGTTTTCCCAGTGTCTTCTCTTGGCTGTTCAGACGGTCATCGTTCGAGTCGAAATGGATATCCGCTCGATCTTTGATGTTTGATATAACAGATGGAAGTCTGACGGAGCCAGATCAGGGGAATGATTTGGGTACTGAAGGAGTTCAAAGCCACACTCAAGGACTGCAGCCAATGACCAGTTTGTACTGGAATGTCCTGATGGAAGAGTACATCTTTTCTCAGCTTTACGCGTCTCTTCGTCCTAATTTCACAGCGTAATTGCTTCATTATCTGCAGCATGATGTGCTTCAATGACAAACATTTTTTTAGGATATTTTGAAAATAGTCCTCCACGCTGACACCCTCGGCTCCCAGATATATCCTTTCAGCTGATGGGGACGTTTTTGCCTTTTTGGTTGTGGTGATGTAAAATACTTCCACTGTTTTGATTAAACCCAGGTTTATCCATAGTCACACATCGTTGCAAAAACCTTTCTGGATCAACTTCAAACTGAGCTAGATTATCACAAGATGCCAGAAGCTTAAGAACACAACGAGCTGATGCTTTTTTCACTGTTCAAGTTTCTGTGCTAATCGAATGTACTCCATTCTCGGGAAGAGCCTACTGAACTAGCAATATCAGTCATTCGCCGGTCTATCATCACCATATCGTCGATTCTCTGAATAGTTTGCGGTGTTGCTGACGTGCTTCCGGAGGATGTTATTATTACACAATTCCTCCTATGTGAGGCTCAGAACTTATCAGTCGTATGTGGAGATAAACATATAAACGGGAAACTTGAGATTTAATACGATATGATCGTGCTTAGATGTGGAGCCAAGCATTCAAGCGGGATGTTATCGATTACAGGAATAGGTGAAACAAACACTTATGAGTATGACAATCATGATAAACATGTACAAAATGAAGCTTGGTTAACTCGGACCTCTTTAATCCGCAAACCCTGCTTTCAGGTTGATTATTAGAAACACCCACATTAACAAACTTTCACACAAAAAGAAATGGCATTCCTACACAATATTCGTTAATCCAGTCAATGGGAATAGCGCCGTCCGTATAAACGGGTATCACTGTATTGTCTTCTTTTTCTTTTCGACGTTAAAAGATGGTACTTGTTGTTACCCTGCCTAACGCTCGGCATAAAGGGGCTGAAAGAAGGACTGGTCGGCACAAAGTCAGTACAGTGTGGCTGAGTGGGGTATTCGTGTTAAACTGCGGCATGGTATCTCAGTGGGATTGCACGCACGCACGCACGCACGCACACACACATACACGTGCATGTCGCTATATAAGTGCAATAATCTTGATGGTGACGTTAAACCCCATTTCACCTCACGTCACCTCTATTTCTTTTCAATTATGTTTCCTGTGTTCACAATTTAGTTGACTGATATACATGTATCTTAAGAACATGAAAACGCCCTATACATATACTACTAACACTACTGTTTATACGAAACCGTATATATGTGGGCATCCAAAAAATATCACTGTAAAAGGTGGGATTCATGTGATCGAAAGAATGGTCCCGTACCTTCAGCGGAAGCTTGACGCCAAATGGACGAAGTATCTGGGACGCCCAGGGACCTGGACATATGATCACGCTTCTACCCCGGTAGGTGGCGTTGGGCGTCTCCAAGGTAACAATATTACCACGTTTGATATTGGTTACCATGGCACCGTCAATGAGCCGTCCGCCAAATGTTTTGAACATCGTCTGAAGACAAATTTGTCAATATTATCATTAGACAACATTTTGCTTAAAACTGGACATCCCCATTTGAACCTGTGATAGAATTGGCCCTGGACCTCGTTGCGACTTGCTTGGACCTGGCGTACATGCACTAATTAAGCTCAGTGACAATTATGTGTGCCAATTTTGAACAATCGATTACAATAAGCTGAATATTTATATGATACATACAATATACATTTAAAATCCTTTTTGCTTTTCTTTTTGGCAGAGTATATGAACCCCAGTGAAAGTTCTTCGAGATATTGAAGGAGGAGCGGGTGGTCAAGTCGTCTACTGTGTAGAGTTGCCGTGATGTAACTGAAATATTGGTTAAAGCGGGCGATAAACTTTATCGTCTAAATCGTCTTCATATAACAAAGTGAGTGAGTTGGGTTTTATCGCCGCTTTTCTCAATATTCCAGTTCTATCACGGCGTGTCAGCTTAATGTGGGAGGAAAGCCCGAAGTGATGCAGGTCTTTGACGTTTACCACTTACTTGAAACCCACGAGCACAGGTATAGTGCTGACAAACCTAGAAAAATAATCGGGGCGTACCGGGATTCGAACCCATAATCATAGGTTTCTGGCGTGCCCAAGGGACGCAACTCTGCACAGCGAATCGCGGCGTCTTAGACGACTGGGCCGTCCGTGCCCCCTCATTTAACGTTGACTATGCGAAAATAAAGTATTGTAGTCGTTTGACAATTATGCACCTGGTATGCCATAAGGGCTTTGTCTGCTCGGAGAATTCCACCGTCCGGATCGGCAACACAGCTGAAGTCATTCGGGTACCTCAGCATCGGGTAGCGCCGCCGGAAGTCTACCGGCGTCAGGTACTCAAACTGAGCGTTGTTACGTTTGAGCGAACTGACGTTATCTTCTAGAAAATCCCCTTTGTATTGCCCGATGGCAATGAATCCAGTTTGTCTGAGGGAGAATGGGAGAGCCTTGTTTCGAAGTAGATATAGAGATGTAGAAGGCTGTAATAGCTACAGTAGGCTTCACATTTGTAATCTACGCAGCAGCTGTACAAGTTATGCAGGTGTATTTTTTCATAATCCTAAACTCCTCCCACTCTGTCTCCCTCATTGCCTGTCTCCTCACCTCAACACCTCCACCCCAGCCTCTCCCGTCAACCTAACACCTCCCACCCGGTCTCTTTCCTCTCAACACCAGCCATCCGGCCTTTCTCCTCTCCTCCCACCCGGCCTCACCTGAACACCTCCCACCGCGCTCTCTCCTTAACCTCAACACCTCCCACCCGGCCTCACTCCTCATCTCCAACGCCTCCCATCCGGCCTCTCTCCTCAACCTGAACACCTCCCATCCGGCCTCTCTCCTCAACCTGAACACCTCCCATCCGGCCTCACTCCTCATTTCAACGCCTCCCATCCGGCCTCTCTCCTCAACCTGAACACCTCCCATCCGGCCTCTCTCCTCAACCTGAACACCTCCCATCCGGCCTCACTCCTCACCTCAACGCCTCCCACCCGGCCTCTCTCCTCACTCCTCATATTCCACCCGGCCTCTCCTCTTTCCTCCTACTCGGCGTCTTTCCTCACCTCCCACCCGGCCTCACCTGAACACCTCCCACCCCTCTCTCTCCTCACCCCAACACCTCCCACCACTCTCTCTCCTCAACCTGAACACCTCCCTTCCGGCCTCTCTCCTCGCCTCCCACCCGGCCTCTCTCCTCACCTCCCACCCGGCCTCTCTCCTCGCCTCCCACCCGGCCTCTCTCCTCACCTCCCACCCGGCCTCTCTCCTCGCCTCCCACCCGACCTCTCTCAACAGCTGAACACCTCCCACCCGGCCTCTTTCCTCATCTCCCACCCGGCCTCTCTCCTCGCCTCCCACCCGGAGTTTCCTCACCTCAACACCTTCCACCCGGCCTCTCACCTGAACACCTCCCACCCGGCCTCTCACCTGAACACCTCCCACCCGGCCTCTCTCAACAGCTGAACACCTCCCACCCGGCCTCTTTCCTCATCTCCCACCCGGCCTCTCTCCTCGCCTCCCACCCGGCCTCTCTCCTCATCTCCCACCCGGCCTCTCTCCTCGCCTCCCACCCGGACTCTTTCCTCACCTCAACACCTTCCACCCGGCCTCTCACCTGAACACCTCCCACCCGGCCTCTCTCCTCGCCTCCCACCCGGCCTCTCTCCTCATCTCCCACCCGGCCTCTCTCCTCACCTCCCACCCGGCCTCTCTCCTCGCCTCCCACCCGGCCTCTCTCCTCGCCTCCCACCCGACCTCTCTCAACAGCTGAACACCTCCCACCCGGCCTCTTTCCTCATCTCCCACCCGGCCTCTCTCCTCGCCTCCCACCCGGCAGCTCTCCTCATCTCCCACCCGGCCTCTCTCCTCGCCTCCCACCCGGACTCTTTCCTCACCTCAACACCTTCCACCCGGCCTCTCACCTGAACACCTCCCACCCGGCCTCTCACCTGAACACCTCCCACCCGGCCTCTCTCAACAGCTGAACACCTCCCACCCGGCCTCTTTCCTCATCTCCCACCCGGCCTCTCTCCTCGCCTCCCACCCGGCCTCTCTCCTCATCTCCCACCCGGCCTCTTTCCTCGCCTCCCACCCGGACTCTTTCCTCACCTCAACACCTCCCACCCGGCCTCTCACCTGAACACCTCTCACCCGGCCTCTCACCTGAACACCTCCCACCCGGCTTCTCTCTCCAGTTGCCGCCAGATGTCGGTAGCTTCATGCATCATCTCCGTGTAGAAGTCCTGGGTGTAGGCCTTGCGGGTGATGCGAGACTGGCCGTGAGAGCTGCCCCGACTGTGTGGGAGCGGGAACTGTGAGAGAAGTTTTCCGTTACAGAGTGTTTACACTTTACAGGAAACCGGTGAAATACGCTAAGATGTAATTATATTATATTTACATGGATTAGGGTTAAGTTGGTCGTACTTGATCTCCTAATGAACTGGGAGGATGTGTTATTAATCAATACCCCCTCCCCATCATAGTAGTACATAGACTTCCCCATATATCAATTTAATATGCCTCAGAGTGAGATTGACCAATCAGAGAGCAGAACTACTGTACCGCCAGTAAAAATCCAAGATGGCTGTTACTGACCTAATATGAGACCGTATACCGTCAGTAACAGCCATTTTGGATTTTCCAAAACCCACCTCACATTTTTTACATGACAAATCTGGTACAGAAATTCGTTATTCGACACTGTTTTGTGTTTTAATATCATTAATTTTGATGTGTAAGGACGCAATATTTTTTGGATCACGGTCGTGACTTTAAAGATTATATAAAGTTACAATTATCAACAAGGTTTGGCCTCTGAGGTTTGAAGAGTAGTCTCCCTTGACCCTTAACGTCTTAAGTTGTAAGTCTTAAGTTTTGAGTTTTAAGTTTTGACATGACATGTGCGACAAAGATACCTGATAGTGCTAACTTTTCGGCGTAATAACTTCGTTTTGGTGCTTTTAGTTGCCGTATACGGTGTCATATAAGGTTAGCAGGAAAATATTTACTCCTCGCCCAATCTTTTTCTTCTAACCTAATATGACACCGTTTACGGCAACTAAAGACCATAACTAATAATATTGGAGCAATAAGGTATTTTTGCTAATCGGATTTTACAGAAAACGATTGAAGTGGTTTCCAGTATAACAACCTAGCGAGTTAGTTATATTAGTTTTTAACTTGTAATTTGACAGGAAATACTCCACTGATTTCATTGAAATATTATCAATTTCAAAATTTTCCTATAATGGAATGGGATGAAATCGGAAAACTGATTTGACACGAACGACGTATGTTTCATATGTTTTAGAATCTTAAAACAGTACACAAGATCCAACAAAGACTACGTATATCTTCACGCTGACGGTCCAGGTCTAAGGGGGAGACAACTCCGTGTGTTAGGGCAAGGAAATGTCACTATGGTACATATATATATATATATCAATATATGTTGCCCGGTTTTTTTGTCATCTTCAATACACATGATATAAATGTCGGATATAAAACAGGACAGGCACCCTGTAACAATTTGGTGTAGTCAAAGGTTATAAAACAAATTTGGTATGTTACAAGCAAACAAGTCCTTAGATATTTTAAACAAGAATGTTTTTTCCATAGTATTCTAAATTAATAAAGTCACAGTGCTGCACTGTATTCCTATCAACACTAGGACCTGTGTTCGGACACATCTGGCTGGTCAGATCCACAGGTGTGGCCTGTTTAATCCAGTTCCTGGTAGCAGTAGTTGGAACAGACATGACCCAGCACATGGCGCGTCTCGCAGCTGTCTCACCGATACCGCAAACACGAGATAAGGAGAGCACTAACGAGGGTGCGTTAGTGAGTTGGTTTTAACGCCGCTTTAAACGATATTTCAGCATGACTTTTACAACAGTATCACAGCGTGTGAGATTGATATGTCGGGAAATCCCGATGCTGTCTCAGACGTTACCCCATTGGTGAAGCCCACAAGAACGTAGGTGTATGGTGCTGATAAACCTCGAAACTATTAGAGCGAACCAGGATTCAAACCCATGATCATGTTCCTGGCACGCCTAAGGGACGCAACTGTGTAAAGCGAACTGTTGCAGTCTGAACTCCTGGAACATCAGTGCCCCCTCACCACCACCCCCTCAACCCTACTCCTCCCCCCCTCCCCCCCCCCCCCCCCCCCCGATCTCACACGCACGCACGCACGCACGCACACACACACACACACACACACACACGACCCTGTTTAGATCTAAGGAGTGTACTGATGGACGAACACGCTCAGCCCGATGTCTACATGTACATGCATAATCGTTACTGAACACGTAAGTTGAAGGTGCAGGATCATTTCCATATTTCGTTTACTTGTATATTTTCTAACTATCTACTTTGTGGCATTTATTTACCGTTCTGTGCGATATCGGTCATTCCAAAATGTTAATAATCCCTAACATTTTTGTCCAGTATATATAATTATGTTAATCTCACGGCGGTGGACGCCATATCAATATATTAGCTGCGTCCTTCAGTGGATATATATAAAATGTGTGTTTTTGAAACAAGACTCTCTTGAAAAATGCAACGCAAACAAACGCCAATCTAGCATTTCACCTTCAGTGTGGGTTGCGATCCTCCGTAACCTCGTGATGACGCATCTACAGGTGCAGTCACTGAAGATAGCAAACAAGGCCAGGGTCGTCTTGTTTGTTTGTTGTTTTACGCTGCACTCAGCAATATTACAGCTATATGACGTAAATAATATAATCTGGGCCAGACAAATCCAGTGATGAACATCATGAGCATAGCTCCACGCAAATGGGACATGCATCAACCGTGTCAGCGAGCCCGACCACCCGATGCCTTTAGCCGCCTCTTACGACAAGCATAGTCGCCTTTACGGCAAGCATGGTTTGCTGAAGACCTATTCTACCCGGGTCTTCTCAGATAGCGCCTCATCTGTGTCGATTTCGCGTGTTGTTGGCACTGTATGCTAGGTTCACATAAGTCTCAAGTTTCTATGTGTGTTCTAAGTATCTTAGCTATTGCCGGAAAACATTGTCACAAAGCTTGTACTGACCCACCGTTCCGGCTGTTGATCTGGTTGATGGTGTGTCTACCTTTAATTGATTTGACCTTCACATTGGTTTCTTTTGTACGTGATGTTCCACAGGGGAAGTAGAGCAGGTGACATTATCACCAGGTTGGCAAGTCCACAACTGTTTCCATCAGATAAACCCCTTCTCTTAATTCTTTGCGGCGTGAGGCAAAAAGCAATCACTTTCTAATGCAAATTATGTGACCTTTTCACGACGCCTAGTGTCATTGATCCATTCACATCATTTTCACCGCTAGTGATATACCTGTTTTATTGTGTTTTTGTGTGTTTGTTAGTATTGATGGGTGTCTGTGTGAGTGTGAGTGTGTGTGTGTGTGTGTGTGTGTGTGTGTGGGGGGGGGGGGGGGGGGGGGGGGGGGTCAAATGTCACCTACATGGGAATTCGTTGCTATATTTAACGAGTGAAGGAGTAAGGCGACACGATAAGTTGAACATATCAAGTCACATTTAAACAATACCGACTCGTTCGTTCCCGGGTGAGGCAGACAAAAGCGGAGCTGGATGATGTCGATACTGGTTTGTGCACTGAGTGAGTGAGTGAGTATGGTTTTACGCCGCTTTTAGCAATATTTCAGCAATATCACGGCGGGGGACACCAGAAATGGGCGTTTGTGCACTGAATTTGTATGGATGGATTGTAAAAATATTCGGTTAACAGAGGACCATTTCTCTTAGATGAATAAATCATAAACGTATTTGTTGTATTTGTTCAGCCGATATAACACAAGGGCGTCTGGAGAAATCTGCTTCACTGTGAGGTCACATGTGGTTGACCTCCCATAGCACAGAAACCAGTTGGCTATAAATCGCCTCGCACCAATTCATAAGTAATTTATCTGATATACATGTATAATTTTATGGAATATATAGCTATATATATGGTAATGATATTCCATAAAAAAAACACTTTTGTCAGGGGTCTACATCAACAATATATGACTCAGATGTTGTTTTAAACGTTATATATTAAATCAACAAGGAACTATCAAGGTTGATCACAAAACTGTCATCACTGGAACATAAATCTATACAGGAGCGTTGATCGTTTGCTAGAATATCAATAAACTTGACGAAAAACGTCTTTTATATAAGTTTCTAATTTGTAAACGATAACATCATCATATTGAATTTACCTGTTCTAATAGCAGAGTCTTCTTCCCCCTCTTGGCCAGGTAATAGGCAGCTGCCGATCCCTCCACGCCTGCCCCGACAACCACAACGTCGTATATTTCATCAGACATCGTCGACGATGGTTGAATCTTGTCTTCGTCTTGAAACTGTCTCAACTAAACAGCAAACCAGCGAATGTGCGTGACTCTTGCTCGAGCTGAAACCTTTAATAATGCCCAAAGTAGGTCAGTCAAATCAAGGGGCAGACGACAATAACTCGCATGAACTAAGGCTATGTACATGACGACACAAGGACCATGCTCCGGTTTGGTGCGGCGAGCACCGATTCTATTGACATCAGCGAGGCTACCTGGCATTAATACACAGTTCTTCGCTGATAAAGAAAACAAACCTCAGAAACTATGAATGGATGCACACATATGGAATTAGATATTTAGATACAGTAAACTACGGTTATAACGAACTCAAAAGGACCACTAATTTTATTCGATATAACCGTAGTTCGTTAAAAGCATATGTAAACATATATACAGAAAATGGACGGCACCATGAAATTGTTCGTTTTTTTCCGACAGTTCGTTATAAGCGTGTTCGTTATAAACGTAGTTTACTGTATTTGAAAGGATGTCGTTATTGTATTTCTTTTTGTCAGGCTTATTCATCAGATATAGCCGTTGTCTTTAGTGAACCATTACTTATTAAACCTATTCGAGTGTGCAGACATTTTAGTCCATTACTATTCGCCTGTATAAGCCATGTGTGGTACGTTTGCCTCGCCTCAGTGATTCCATTCCCAGTTTGGGTAATAGCTTATTCGTTTGTATTATTATTATATACAGAATACAGTAACAATGCAGTAAAGAGGGTTTGGGTGATCCTGGCACAGTCAGGCTGGTCAGGCTCATCATCAGCTCTGGGCCCTTGCCCCCTCTACACGCAGCCCAGACAGCGAATGGGACTTCTCCCATGGAGCGCTGCCTTGTCGAACCCACCGAGAACCTTTCGGAGAAAGTGAAGACTCCCAAACACTGCAGGCTTCTACATTACCCAGATTGCCAGAAGGGGCTGTATTCCTGGCATCAAACCCGGGTACTCTCCCAGTGACAGTCAACAGATTGTGAGGTACCGAGAACAATGGGGAGTCGGACAACTTGGTACTTGGTACATCGGGGAAGGGCTGCGCGCCAGTGGCGTTGCACAATGATTACAGACGAATCAAGGTTTTGCCTCTGATTCAGAAATTAAACGTTGATGCCGATCATTCTTGAACATGTAATCTATGTGTGGGGGCAGTGTCTTCACGGTCTTGGGGCGGTATCACACATGACATTCACCCGTGAAGATCCGGGGTAGAATAGTTCTTCAGCAACCTATGCTTGCCGCAAAAGGCGACTATGCTTGTCGTAAGAGGCGACTAACGGGATCGTGTGGTCAGGCTCGCTGACTTGGTTGATGCATGTCATCATATCCCAATTGCTTGGATCGATGCTCCTGATGTCAATCACTAGATTGTCCGGTCCAGACTCGATCATTTACAGACCGCCGTCATATAGCTACGAGTGCGGCGTTAAACAAGTAAAACAAACAAACACATGACAGGCGAACGGATGTGGTTATTGTGAATGAACATTTGACTGGTTAGCTATTTGTTCCATTCGTTAGAATTATCGTTAGAAATTTTGAACTGCAACATGACAATGCCAGACCACAACGTGCCCAGGTCATCACCGATTATCACCAACGAGAGGGCATATAGACATTGGTCCGGCCCGCTAAGTCCCCTAACATGTCCCAAATAGAACATCTGTGGGGTGTCCTCGGGCGGAGAGTCCCAGCACCCGCCAACGTGGTCCAGTTTTAGGGCATTCGTGACCAACTCGTGTTATTCCGGGACAAGCCGAATAGCGACTCGTGCCCCCCTCATGGCCATTTTTGCGACCGGGTTCCGTATTAGCGCAAACGGGCATACCTAAAATAGTTGTCAACTCGTCGCGTTATGGTTCACATATATTTCCCCATATATTATATACATATTTCAGATGCAATTTAAAGCACATCGGGACATGCGGAATTATACAGTATGATTGAACACATTTAGCTGTGCCTTTGGTTTATTTTTTAATACAAGACATATGTAAAATCAAAAATTATTTCTGAGGGATTCTTTGACGAAGAACTTGAAATCATACGCGCATTCTGATTGGTTTGTCGTATTTTCGCACATAACATTCATCGATAGGGAGACGAGTCTTCTTGCAGGTCACGGAAAGAGGCGAGTGGTGACGAATGGTTTTGGGGTAGCTCTTCAGGCAGAATGGCGGGCAGTACCAAAGGCTTCCACACGCAAGTTAATCAACAGTATACCATCAAGGTGTCGTGCATGTGTCGCCGAACATGGTGAAGACACCAGACATTGATCTACACGCCTGAAATATAGTTTAAAGACATAACACCTTCACTATCATTTCATCCGTACCCTGATGTTTTGTAGGTAGTGCATCTGCTCACTCACTCACCCTGGTTCTGCCTGTATGTAGCTGCCATTCTGACCATCCAATCAACATTTACGTCCCCTTGCATGACAGACATGGGAGGCTAGGAGGCTATGATGAACTGGACTTATTATTATTATTAATTTATTATTAGTATAACATGCATGTAAATACTGCCTCGCATATCCCCAACAAAACGTGCAACGAAATATTATTATGATTCGAAATACAAATCTAAAATGGGGCTTTTTATGCCTTCAGAACACATCACGGGCATTGAAAAGAAATATATCTCGACTTTCAATAATACTTTTATTTTGAAAACAGCCATTGCTTACTGTCTAAGTATGACGGGTTTACCAAAATGTTAAAAAAAACCATTCACATAAAAAATACATATGAAAGATCAAACATTGGTTTTCAGGTTTCTTTTTAAAATAAATATGAGCGTGAAAATAGTTTGTACAAAACTGCCATTTTGGAAAGATGATAAATTTGGAAATATCCCGTAATCTAGTTACACAATTTAAGTCGGTATCCCGTTAATCTGTCAAGACTGATTACATGATTTTCTAGTATGAACTTTGTGACTATAATCTACCTTCTGAACTGAGATATGTATCACTGACATACGGTTCAAGTGGGGCAACACAGATTTTCGTCCAGGTTTCTTTGTAAACTGAAAGTCACCTTAATATTTGACCTGTTTACTTGTCACGTGATGCGTGACCTGTCCAGAAACCGATAACATGGCCGAGATATATGGTATTTACGTTGACCACCCGATCCTGTTAGTCGCCTCTCACGACAAGCATTGTCGCGTGGGGCGCTGAAGACCTGTTCTACCCCGGATCTTACTGGTCTCCTTTCAACTGAAATACATTTGTAGTTCATGATTGATATCCTTAATTTCAACAGATGTTGCTAAATAGTATATAAGCTCCAAATGAAAGTTTATTATTAAAAGTACTCACGGAAATGAAAACAAATCTCAGATTTTAAATAAATGCAGTTAATATACAAAATATATAAATATTCAAACAACTCAATTAGTACTAATTGGGCCTTGGCACAAAACAGACTATTGTGAAACTGAGCATAACCAGGTGTTAGTAGATCAAGGTGAATGTCCATGACCTATGACAGCTTGACGACAGGTGAAAACAGGTGCTTGAAACCCACGTGCATGTGATTTGTCAGTGGTTAGTGATTTGTGAGTGGCATTGTGGGACAGTGAATCATCGTCAAAATATCAGAACGTAAAAGTAACATATTCCCTCCTCAAACAACAACTTACATGTCATTATTATTATGTACATAAACATAGCTGTTATTTTTATTGTTGTTTTGATAACTTTTTTCCAGGCTAATTTGCATAATGCCTAAAGCCTGTTTCTGCCATGTCAATTTGGACTTAGTTTTATTTTTGAATGTTGAAAGTGCCTACAAATTACCTCCTGTAAAGTACATTTTGTATTGAGCACTGAGATAAAACTAGCAAATCAAGACTAGAACTTTTCCAGTTGTTTTGTTATTTCGTATTCACATCTACCTAATGCTTTGTATTCAGAACACAATTAAAGCCACAGGGAAACCACCATCCAGCCACAAGCCAGAACCATCAGGAGCAGTGTACCACATTCCGTGCAATTGTGGACAAGCTTACATAGGAGAAACATCTAGGCCCCTCAAAACCCATATTAAAGAACATCAAAGCTCAGTCTCCAAAGATGACTCTAAATCAGCTCTATCAGACCACATCCGTCACAACCCTCGCCACCAACCTCAAAGACTTCAAGATCAGGAAACTACAAGAAGCCATCAACATCAAAAGACTCCAGCCGTCAATCAACCGTGACCAAGGCTATTACGTACCCCTGGCGTACCATCAACTCATCAAAGACCCCAAAGACCCCAATCAGCCATAATCCCGTTGTTTACATTACTGGCTTCATCCTTTGTTTCATGACACTGACTTCACCGATGGTTATCATCACTGGCCTTGTGTGTACACAACAGGTTTCTCTACCCCAGTATAACAATATCTACCCTTCTGTATAAACATTGCCTCCTACGTGTATATATACTTGCTCACTGCACTTTGTAATGTACTTTGTCATAAGTTCCATTATTTTGCAGAGATTTGAGGTTAGGGAGATGGGCCTATAGGAGTTAGCCTGATCTGCTGGTTTATTTGGTTTAGGCGAGTGCTTCTGTGGTGGACATTGTTTATAATTTTGATAGGGTTTGGTTAATTCTAACACTGTCATATAATGGCTGGCTGGCACGTGTCGGCCTTTGGCGCAGTCGCAAAGAACAAAGACACCAAGTTGCGTGGATGGCGTCTGTCTGGACTTGCAGGTGTGATCAGTGATGACAACAGTGAGTAGGACTCTTGTCTTGACTTGCAGGTGTGATCAGTGATGACAACAGTGAGTAGGACTCTTGTCTTGACTTGCAGGTGTGATCAGTGATGACAACAGTGAGTAGGACTCTTGTCTTGACTTGCAGGTGTGATCAGTGATGACAACAGTGAGTAGGACTCTTGTCTTGACCCCAGCAGTGACAATTCACATGATGTAATAATATTATTAGTGTTTGAATGGCATTGTTTATATACTTGTTACAAGTGCTGCTCAATAACCGACCTAAATTAATAAATCAAATACTTAAAAGCTCCAACGACCTAACTAAGGCAGGCAAACAAATAACCTTCTTGTGGATACCCGACCACGTAGGAATATACAGTAATGAAAACGCCGATAAAGCAGCTAAACTATCCCTCAAAATCCCAGAAATAAGCTTAAACTTACCCATCTCAAAATCAGAAATTAAAAGTGTAAACAAGCAAAAAATCACCAAAAAATGCCATAACCTAAACCTAAACTCAAATAGCCAAATCAAAAAAGTGCTCAGCAAACCACTAACCAAACCAAAAATTCCCCATCCATTCAAAAAAAATCGACAGAGTAATCACTAAACTCCAAACAGGACACACCAACCTAAATAACCACCTAAAAAAAATTAAAAAACACACTACAGGTAACTGCCCACACTGCAAACAACCAGAAACCCCAGAACACGCACTCATCCACTGCACACACTACCTAACACATCGAACCGCATTACAAACCACCCTCAATCACAAGGCTCTAACTCTAGAAGCAATACTAAACCTACAAAATAAACTAGAAAACTTCAAGGCCTTAGGCGTATTCTTAATAAAAAC